GGTATAGCTGATTGTATGGCAGGCAGGAAACAGAGCCATCGGGGAAAGAAGAAGGATGTATTTATACATCCTTCCAGATCATACCCACAGTGGCTGTTGTAGTCAGGGGTTGTGCACAGAGAACAATTCAGATCAGGACATGGAGTGTATAAGATTTTTATAATGGTCACTGGAAGTTAACACAGGAAAATACAGGAAATCTATCCGCAACACCAAAGACATAGATTATTTAGTCAAGAGCCTAAACCCCACAGCAATGTCCCACATGAGTCCAGATAAAAACCCAGAGCTCAGGACAGTGCCTCCCACAAGTCCAACTGGAGGCCCAGACCCCACAAGAAGGACTCATGCCTGTCTCTTTTATGGATCCGGGCCAGGAAGACCTAAGAAGGGTCAGCGGTGGAAGCCAGAAAGTCCATGCCAACAGGGTGAAGGAGCTGTGCTGGGGGAATGAGGGTTCTACGCTGGAGCTGAGAAGTCACACTCACAACAAAGACCAGGGCTATGCTGAAGGCACCACAGCCATCCTCAGCAACACGAAGGCCCCAAGCTCTTCCAATGACAAGCACAGTCGGGTACGTGCCAGAAGCAGCGTGATGAGTTCATCCTGCAGACCAAGTAGCACATGTCTTCCCCTCTGGAGCCAGGAAGCAATGCTTGATATGAAGACCAAAGCTTCTCCAGGAGAACCAGCAGCTCAGACAGCAACTCGTAGGAGAACCCACAATGCTTCCTTAACGCCTCAACCCTCCACCTATTTATCTTGGCAACTTTCCTCAGGTGGAGCATCTTTGTTCAATGCCATGCTGATGTAATCCAGCTGGTGTTAAGTTGACCACCAGTTCTCAGTCCATAACAGTGGCCTACCAGGTTTCATCTTCCAACAACATACCGAACTATAAACCCATCAGTGCATTAATCCAATATCAAATACCCATCGTCCAGTATCACAGCCCCACAATTTACTCACTTCCCAAAAGCCTCACCTATGAGCATGAGAGATTTTGGAAGGACATCTAGATATAAACCATAAAATTCCACCACTGACTTCCACAAGATTTATATGCATTCCTTTATACAAAATGCATTTAACTCATCTTTTAAGAGTTGCCAAAGTCTTAACAATTTCAGCACTGCTGAAAAGTCCAAGTTCACATTCTCCTCAGAGATCTAATGCAAACTCAGCTGTGAGCCCTTGAAAAGAAAGTTAAAACACTTCCAACATACAATGACACAGATAAACATTCCCATTTCAAAAGATACAAGTAGGGGAATAGAAAGGAGTAGGATCCAAGCAAGACCAAAATCCATCCGGGCAAGCATGAAATTCTGTAATTCCATCGCTTCTCGGCCTTTTGGCTAAGATCAAGTGAAATTCTGTAATTCCATGTCCAATATCCAGGTCAATCTATGGCATGATGTGGACTCCAGAGGTCTTGGGTTGCCCTGGCTCTACAGCACTGCTATTGTTTGTAGACCACATGGCTACTCTCTTGGGCTAGCTTTGCTCACTCCTTGCAGCTTTTTTCCTCAGATGATCCACATTTCTGGCTTCTTTAATCTTCTGGAGGTCTCCACAACATCTTCAACTTTATACTCATAGCTTCACACACTGCCTTCTCAGTGGTACATTGCCTGTCTTCCCAGACCTTCTTCTGAAATCTGAGTGCAAGCCTTCCTGACCTCAGAAATCTTGGATTCTGTATATGTACCTAAAACCAGCACCACATGGATGCTGCCAAAGCCTGCCTCCAGCTGGAGGAGCACCCAGGCATGCTTGTTTCTTGGTTGTGGGGGTTGTGTGCTTCGATTTTTTACTATTTTGAACCCAATTCAGAGAAACAAATTTTCTAGGCCTCTGTTACTCTAGAACATTGCAATCTGGGGCTTCCTTCTCAAAGCAAAATCTTTTATCTTTGCAGTTTAGAGGCTGCAAAGTATAGAGACCTGATCATTCTTATAATGGCCTCAAACCAAATTTTCTGTTGTCCTGCTCCAAAGTACATCACTTAGTAATGCTAACCTTTGCAGCAACCAAGTTCCCTGCTTTATCTTTGCAGGCTGCAACTTTACTGATTTTTTTTTTTTTTTTTTTTCTGTTCACACTCAAAACTTAAAATTGCTTTTCTGGGCCTTTTGCTCTTAATTCTTAACATTGATATGGCTAAAAGCATCCAATAGTAGCCATGCCACTGCTTTAACATTAGACTACCTTGAAACTTCTTTTGCTAGATTAATGAATCTGCGTCATTTAATCTTTGTGTCCTACAAAATCTCTGGACAAAAGCAAAATGCAGACATATTTTCTGCCAAAAAGTAAATCATATTTCAAAGAGCCCAGCTGCCAGCAGAATCCTTTTTCCCAACTGAAACCTCTTTAGCCTGCTCTTTTCTGCTCGCACTGCTGTTAGTATTGTAGTTTTCTGGGCTTAGAACAAAATCACCCATCAAGGTTGGTTCATAGCATTCTAGGGCTGCTGCTCTTGTTGGCATCTCCAAACCTTTCCAATCTCCTCCTGAAAGTCAGCAACAGGTATAACTGGTACCAGCTTATGACCCATGCCTAAAGGGCAGTGAGTTCCCCAGAAAGCAGCAGGCCTGGGAAAGTGTTCATTTAGAGTGGGAGCCAGGAGCCTGAAGAAGGTCTGGGTACCCATCCTGCAGCACAAGGGCTGTGAACAGGAGCCAGCTAATGGTAGAGGAGGAGGCCCAGTCATGTGAGAGAGAAGTGGTATGGGGAGGTGGGTCCCAGAGGCCTGAGCAAAAGATGCTCAGTGGAGTGTGATCAGCACTCAGAGAGAACTTGGACACTCACAGGGCTTATTAAAAATATCTATCTACACCTATGTCTCTGCATTCATAGTTTATGCAAGATGTAGTTTAACTACAGTTTAGTGTCTATACATTCCTTTAACTTTCATGTTAACATATTACCTTGATAACGGCTTAGTGGTTACTTTGCTACAGATTTCATATCAGAGTGATAAGGAGAGCTAGCTGTTTGTCATGGAGAGGGCATCCAGTGTGACAGGGCTGCATCAGTGCTGTCACATAGAGGGGGAAATCTCCAGAGATAAGGAGATCCTCATGCACACTTGAGATCTTTCCAGTCCTCACAGGTGCAGAAGGACAGAGCTCTGTGGTAGATAGGGTAGACACTTGAGAAAGATTTTGCCAGGTATTCTCATTTTGAAGTAGGAGGTGAGGACTTTTATGGTAGATAAAGAAGCTCTTGAAGTTGCAATCTTGATAATAAAAACAACTGTTTTTGTGTTCTGTGCCTCAGCACTCTGGATCAGAGCAAGAAAGCCCAGGAGTTAGGGATTCCGAGCTGTGGCTTTGCGTAAGGACTTGACAGTGAATTGTGGTGGATAAAGACTCTAGTTCATGTAGGCTGCTTGGAGGGGAACTACAAAGAGGAAAGGTGCAGAGTTCCTTCAAAAGTCAAAGAAGAATGGTAGCGTAAGTGACAGGACAGGAGGGCTGTAGGCATCAGCAGAAAGCTTGGATTTAGCCCTAGGCACGGCACTCAACAATCACATGAATGACTGTAAGATTTCACAAGTAGCAAATTGGTAGGGAGAGTACGTAGAGTAGGAGAGGGCAAAGAACCATGAGAGCTGTGCACTGAAGTCAGTTAATATTACAGATATTAAGTGAAGAGGGCTCAGGGGGCCGTGTTCCAGGGGGATACAATGCTGTGGGAAGAGGGATAAATGAGGAATCCTACTTTGCAATGAGGCTGGTGTGGCCACCCTCAAATGGTCTTGTTCTTACGTGGGTTTCTAAATGTGAGCAGGCCCTACTGAGAGGTCTTTGTAGAGAATATAAAGATGGGGAGGAAGGACCAAGTCCTTCTTGTTGATGTTAATGTTGGGAGTTTTGCTCCCTCTGAAATCTCAAGATATAGTGAAATGAGAACAGTACAGAGGAGAAGCCACTGGAGTGCAGAGCCGCTGGGTTCTAGTAGAAAAAAAAAACAGCTGAGTAGGCTTCATTGTGGTAGCGGAGAGAGGCCCAGTGAGCTGCTGGAACTGAGTGATCTCAGTATTCTACGTGATCATGCAGTGGCACTTTGCTGCAGAGGCCCAGTGGCACTGGCTGCAAGCCGACCCCTGCCAGGAAAGTAGAATCTCATGTCATTATTGCAGTGAGCCTCTGGGGTGAGTGTTCGGAAGGCATGGCTTGGTCAGAGATGGGTGTCCAGTCTCCACCTCAGGTGTGGCTTCTGATGTAATTTTAGAAAGAAGTATAGTCTTTCGTGTGTCTTTTTAGTTGTTTTTGGGTTTTATTTTTTTGTCCTTTTGTTTCACCTTCAGTTTCACATTCTCCTAGTTAAAGCACTAAGTGCTTCCTGGAACGTATGTAAAATTTAATCAGTTTAATAAATAGTAACATTTCAGGATATGACCAGTTTTTAAATTTCTTCTGCACTGGAAAAATCACATGGGAATTTTTACCAATGACCTAGCGTCTGATGTGAAGGAGAGTGAGAATCTGGCTGCTTTTCTTAAGTGGTTTGGGCAAAGAAGATCGAGAAAAGCAACCAGTACCTGTGTGTGTGTGTGTGTGTGTGTGTGTGTGTGTGTGTGTGTGTGTATTTTCCCCCTGAATTGTTTGCGGCTTACAAATAAAAGCATGAAAGTCATTTTAGCCACTTAGGCACTCAACCAAGGGAATTCTGTTACTTATTCCATTTCTTTCTGGCATTTAAAATATCAAGCATGTGTTAGCTCTCTGTTAATGCTTCTTCAGTAAGCGAGAAAAGTATATTAAATTTTAAAATCTCTCTCTCCCTCTCCCTCTCCATCTCTCTCTCACTCTTCCTCTCTGCCTCTCACTGAAAGACATATACTTTGTTGCTGTTGTATTCCAATACTGAAGTATTTTGATCAGGCTCTAAATACTAGATCCAAAACAATGTATTGCACAATATTTAGCTAGGAAGAACTGTGACTCTTTATGTGCTTTGAACACCTTTTCACCGTCTGTGCTTGCAGGTGGTTTGAAGTGTCCTGTTTGCAGCTTTGTGTATGGTACCAAATGGGAGTTCAACAGGCACTTGAAGAACAAGCATGGCTTGAAGGTGGTGGAAATTGATGGAGACTCCAAGTGGGAGGTAACTTGCTGAAGTGTGATAAATTGATATTTCTAAACATAAATGTCACCTAGGCAAGCCCAAGTGCTGGGCTTGGACACCCAAACTTCAAGCTTTGGATTTGGTGGCTAGAAAATTTCTGAAAGCTTTTCAAATCACTTATTTGAATATAGTTGGGTACAATCTGGATAAGAATCGATGTGTGTAGATTCTTATTCTGAATGAGAATAAGAATATCGGCTCTTCTTTGCATGTTTACATGAACCTCACTGACCTTTATACTTCTCATAGTCAGAGAGCTGGAGTCTTGGATTGTGTATGTGAGGTAAGAACGAAAGGAAGGAGTCTGTTATTGCCGTGTTCACTGTGAAATGGAAAAGCCCTATTTCCTGATTCCAGGTGCTACTCTCTTTCTATTGAAGGCTTGTACTCCCACTGGCCCCCTTTGCCTTTCCCCTAAGTTATTGGAACCAGTTAGAGTCAGCAGTCATTGCTGTGTTCAAATATCATGAGCCAATGGCATTTCCTTAAGACCTAGCTTCGCAGTAGCAGCAACATTGGCATTTGAATCGGGATAATTCTTTGTTGTGCAGGGCTTTCAAGTGCCTTATGTTTGGTGCATTTCTGGCTACTTTCAAGTTGATACCAGTAATACCATGCCTTTCCCCCTGGCTATCATTAAGATAAACACCAGTCACTGCTTATGTTCATTGTTCTCTGGCTGCCTGAATCAGCCCCTGTTGGTCCGAGGACTTTATAGAGCTTTCATTGTTTAGGAGTAAGGGGTTTGAAACAAGATCCACCATGCATGAAAGAAATAAAGCTTCATGAGTATGTGAGATTCTGGAATGGCAAGGAAGAGTGTTTCGGTGGGAAGGAATATGTTAATATAATCCATCATGATAAAAGAACTAGGGAGAAAAAGAGAAATTATCATAAAGATGATAATTTCATGAAGGCATGTGCAAAATTCAGTATTCACTGATTAAAAACAGATGATAAAAGAAGGACCTGATGGATGCATCCTTAAGGTGATAAAAATATACATGTCGCATCCCAAAAGCCGATATCTGACTTCATTGGCACACTGGAGGGTTTCCTCTTAAGTCAGAACAACACAGGAATGCCCAGCAACCCTACGAGTCATGAATACTTTAGTGGGGCATCAGCCAGTGTGAGCAGAAAAGGCAAAGCAAATAGAGCCAGAACCCCAAGGGAAGAAATAAAAATATTTTTTATTTTGGAGAACAGTGTTTTACTAGATACCCTAAGACCAAAAACAGTTGTAGATGAGATCTGCTTAGTAAAAGTGTTTCACACAGTAAAGAGGTCATTCAGGAGGTGGGAGTTCAGGCTGTCACCTGGCTCCCAAGGATGCCTTGCAAAGAGTGCTATCCTTCCAAAAAGTGACCATTACACAGTTTCCCTGGAATGAGGGGAGCTATGTATTTGGCATGTGTACTGCCCTTTTGCAGGCAAAGACATAGCTCCTGTCCAGTGCTGGTTAATATGTTACTAATGGTACTTACAAGTGGAAATCCCACCTCTTCTTTTGTTCATTTCTGCATTTATCAAGGAGTTACTGAGTCTCCTGTGTGTTACACTGGAAACATCTAAATGAAATTGCGTGGTTAGTTGTACAAGGACAATGCCCTGCTACTGTGCACCTCAGTGTCAGTTAGTGTTCAGTGCTTATAGTGCGTAACTTTGGCTGCTATAAACTTCAGGGTCCTTCTTTTTCTTCTTTTCTGTTGGTGTTGTTTATGTTTTGCCTGTCTTCCTCAGCCCTGGTAGAAAGAGATCATCATTAATACCTAATTCTGTGAATTCTGACCCCCTGCTTCTCTAGGTGCAAGGTACCTATGAATATCATGTCAACTTCTGCACTCACCAGTACTGATAGTTAGCAAGTACATTTCTTGTAATCATTTTTGTAAAAATAAGAATGGCATGAATGGCTATGATTTACTGAACTCTTACCATGTGGCAGGACCTGTGCTTTTACATTCCATATAATGACCCAACCTCTTCCTTTCCTCTCCTCCTTTCCAGCACCCTCTGATCCCTGGCCCCTGTTAGCCATGTGGCACAAGGCACAAGGCCCCAGCATAAGGGGCAGTGTTGGTAGCAGTGGGAGGAGACAGAAGCCTTTAGAAGTACATGTTTGAAAAAGAAAAAAAAAAGTACATGTCTGAGAATATCTTGCAAGTCTCTGATTAGGAACAGCATACTCTGCTCCCTGCTGCAAGAATGGATATCACTAAATCTGGTTTGACAAAGTCTTATTTCTCGCAAAGCAGTGATTTCTCCTTGGGGTGTACTTTTATTGGAGCAGCTGATTTCTTGGGGGAGAGACAGAGGCAGGTAAATGATGTTATATAAGTGGTTCCTTTCTTGTGTGTGTTTGTCTTAATACAGTTATCCTGGAACTTCTGATAATTGTTGACCTTTTAAATAGCCACTTAGGTATCATGTTTGTATTTAGTCAACAGCAGAAACTCCTGAGGAGCCCTCCACGCAGTATCTCCACATCACAGAAGCTGAAGAAGATGTTCAGGGGACACAGGCGGCTGTGGCCGCGCTCCAGGACCTGAGATATACCTCTGAGAGTGGTGAGGACACACCTTCTTTGAGATCTCAGAGCTGGCCTTTGCATGCTGAATGAATACTGTTCATCACGTGGCCCATATCACATTCCCTCACCTAACATTCAGAGTGCGAGAAGCAGGCCTGTTGGCAGGTACCAGGGTCTCTGTCTCTGAAAATGGTCCAGAATAGAGTTCCTGCAGGAAATGGGCCTTGTGACAGGGTTGTAAGATTTTTCTGTGACATAACACTTCATTGCCAGAACAGCCTAAGAGAGGAGTAGATCTCGCTGTTCATACTTCACAGCCATGCAGGTGACTTGCGTTGCTAGTGGGGGCGGTTGGGGAATGCCCATGCCCACTCTTGGTGGTGCAGCTGGTCGTGGAGCCTGGCTCTCCAGACTTCTCAGGGCATGGTCCCTGTTCCATACTTCCTTATGCTCATCCATTCCTGGGGCTCATCCCAGGATCCATGGGCTCCAGGCAGGCAGTATCAGGTGGCAGTGGTAACTGAAGCTGTGGTGTGCTCTGGGTCCCATAGCAGACCATCTGTAATCCAGGGCTGCTGATCCACACTCACGTGCCCCTCTTCAGTCCCCACCCTACAGTCTTCCCAAAAGGCTCAGCCAGGATTTTTGCATCAGATGTGATTTTTTAAAAAAATTTTGGATAAATTCAAAACCAAACGCTGCAAGTCTAATAGCAGTCAAGCTTTGTGCTTGGACACAGCTTTTTGTGATGCTCTGTGAATGCAAGTTAATGTTACATTCTGCAGCTCCGTCTAACTGTGGCGAAAGAAACTAAGCAAGTGGTATTAAAAGTGCAGCACCTGATGAGTCGAATGCTGTAGGATATAGGGTTGCGGAAAGCACCATTTCTACCGACTTTTTAAATTCTCCAAGGCTGTGTTGTAAGAAAGCACCACAGCTCCTAAAGGCCAGTTATTTTAGAGAAATTAATGGGCAGGGCTGGAACCCCTGCAAACTCAGCTGCAGGGAATTCAGAGACAGACTGCACTGCTACAGACAGGCGTGGCTTGGGCTGTTAAGAACAGACCCCAGCCTAAGACCCTCCTTTGGTGTGTTTCCTTCCTCTGTGTTTAGTAATTGCTCAAGACCTGCAGCACACAGCCTGTCTGTCTTCATTCTTTAGAAACAACACTCCCACACTCATTGCCATGTGGACACATGGCTTCTAAAGGCCCTGTTGTGTCTCCCAAGCCCTTCAGATGTATTTCAAACTTCGTGTGCATCTGAGCAGGCCAGGCTCTGCTGCTCCGTGTTCTAGCTCTTGCTAGCCCTGTCTCTTGCTTCCCACTCTAAGCTGTGGTTCTCAGCACTGACTGCATTCCTCAGCTGGGTGCTCCAGTGATCTCAGGATGATGGTTTGGCCCCTTGCACCCCCATCATTTTCTCTGCCCATCTGATCCCCATCTCCAACAATCAGGTTGTGTGTCTCCTACTGGGGACCCACTGCACTTTCTTACACTGTAGCCTGACTGCCCTGCTCAGTTTGACAGGCTACAGGTGATGTAATGGTTTGTTTACCGTATGTCTCAGGAGCCTGTGAGCCCAGGAAGGAGCAGAGAGGGACATCTACCATTCCTGCTGGCTCTTGGGCTTAACAGTTGTCACTGAGGGAGTGAGTGGATGAGGAATTGACATTTAACCTCAGTATATTTTACAGAATATTTTAAATATACTGTATAAATATATATAAATATACTGTTATTTTTTACAGTATATTTTAAATATACTGTTAAATTGACATTTAAGCTCAGTATATTTTACAGAATTTTTTTACCGTATTTTAGTTTTTTGATGCTGGGGTTGCCTGGCTGCGAGGCCCATGTGAGTCATCCACTGCCAGGGGCAGGTGTGGCTGTGGGAAGTGAGTACAGGGAGGTGCACTGTGAATACTTGGTTTGTGAGTATGATTTGGTCCAGAAACGCTTTCAGTCCAAAGCACTTGCATATCAAAGTGAGTTTCCCATACGAAATAATGGAAACTCAGGTAATTCATTCTGCAACCTCAAAATATTAATGTAAAAATGATTACAATACTGTAATATAATACAAAATAGTAAAACACCAAATATAAAGAACAATAAACAAATCAACCTCCACTGACTTTTGAAAACTGTCGTGGCTGGTGTAAAGGAGATAAGAGAGAAAAGGGTTATTGTACAGGACGACTTTCACTATTACTAACAAAATCACTGCTATCTATTGACTAAATGGAATCTTGTTCTTTCATGCAGATTTAACAAGGCCCTTATTCAGTGACATTTCCTTTTGCCTCGTTGTGTCGTTGTTAAACAGGTTAATTGCCCACACTGCTACAAACTTATTCAGATGGGGCTTTTCTACAAAATTTTACTCTGTTTCCCACAGTTTACACATCTCCCTAATCTCCTTTCTAATCTCCTTTGAAGTGAAGGATTCCTCCCAATTTTTTCTTCCTCTTTCTCCCTGTAGACAATTCTCCATAACTTGTTTTTTTTGGGAGATAACCACCCAGAATCCCCAAGAGGTGCAAATACTGACAAAGATTTTATGATCTTATGCTAGTTTTGTACACCAACAGTAATCTCCCCATTCGTAAATTAGTGAGCAGGGTCAAGGTGTGTTTAGGGCCTGGCCTGCTCAGGGTGTGCAGGTGGCCAAGCAGATAGTGAGAGCAGGTTGGCGGTACTGAGCTGCTGCTTTGAGATGCAGAGCCCTGTTTTTTAATTAAAACAATGACTAAATGATTAATGATTAAAACAGAAGGCCACATTTAAACTGGTTGGGAGTTTGTGAGCCCCCTGGCTAAATCACTGAGACATCTTTGGATGTTTTGCCCATCTCTTGTGTGATTTATTTGACATACTTTCTGTGATCACCTCTCTTGTGCTCAGAAGAAATCAGCTGTGCATGTGACCATGTCAGCAGGAATGACACTGTAAGGGCCAGCCTGTATCTTCAGGCTGGGATTCAGAGCATCTCGGCTTAAATTCTGGCTTTATCTGTATCTTAGTTACTTTTCTCTCATTGCTGTGACAAAATACCTGACACCCAAAATTAGGGAAGGAAACGTTTACTTGTCACAGTTCTTGGAGGTTTCAGTCCATACTCATCTGGCTCCAAGGCAAGGTGGCATGGCTGGGGAACAGCTGTTCATAGCCGCTGCAAACAGCAAGCTCGAACAGAGCAAAAAGACCAAAGACACACCTTCTTCCTGCCCTTACACTGTATGCTGACTCCACCCCGGGGCAAGTATAACACTCACACCATTGATTAGAGCGCTAAACGCGAACCAATCACAGATGCTAGATTCAGCTGCATCCATGATTGCATCAGATTTGGGATGTGGGCACTGACATAAACCATGACAGTCTGTGACATAATTTCCTCAGTAGCCAGAGGCAAGTCTCTTTGCTTTTGTGCCCAACTGACAAGTGCCATCTCCTTATAGGTTGCTTGGGGTTTTGAGCTGTTCTTACAGAAAATGTCTGGTTATCCATAAAATAACACACAAATTATTTTTCTTGTCAAAATAAGTGATTGCTGAGGACCTATATGTCCTCTGGAAAAGGCATCAGTCTAGGGAAGCCAGGGTGACTTCGCATTGGATGTTCCTCAGCTCAGTGGCCTTGATGGTCTTCTGTTGGCTTCTTCCTCTTAAGGTGACCGCCTCGACCCCACAGCTGTGAACATACTACAGCAAATCATCGAGCTGGGCACTGAGACACACGACGCTGCTGCTGTAGCCTCAGTGGTTGCCATGGCACCTGGGACAGTGACTGTGGTAAAACAGGTAAGACCCTGCTGCTCTGATACATTCTCCCCTCCTGCTACTGTGCACCCCCTTCCCTGTCCTGAGGCTTCCAGGACTTTGCCTAACGTAGATTTACAGTAAAATTGGCCTAGTCTCTCACGTTTTCTCCTACCTGAGATGGTTAGGGAATCACTCTATATCTGGGGATGTGTTTGGGAGAAGAGGACTGGTATATTTAACAAACACTCTGGAAAATCTTCATCTCCTCTCAAAGATTCCCAGAATGAAAATGAGCATGATGTGGACTTAGTTAGGCACATCTGTGGTGGAAAGCAATCCTTTCTTCCTGAGACTCCTCCAGAAGAAGACTGGCAGGCCATGGAGCAGCCAGAGTCCATGAGTGTCTCCCCATGGAAGCACCACCTCTTCAGATCCTACACAAGAGAGGAGGAGAATGATCAGTAGTAAAAAAAGGAATAGCTGCCCTATTTGGCTCATTTCGTTTTCTGTCCTCAACAAGGACTTCTCCATCTGTAGAATACAGTGTATTTGTTAATTAGAGCATCTTTTCTGTGTATACCTGTCTCCCATCTACTGCCTATCACTTCATTTTATGACAGATTTTAGCTGGCTTGCAGAAGTGTTTTAAAGATAGAAAACAAAAGCAGCAAACACATCAGAATCAGAGAAATATATAATTTAAAATCAAAGTCCAAGTTCATGAAGAAAGTTGTAGTGAAGACCATAGAGTTTCACGCAATTATCTGTTCTTTCAATGATTTATTCACCAGGTATTTACTGAGGCCAGTACCTACTATTGTCTGGCAGTGTTTTAGCCGATGGTTTCTAAGAGGAACTGATGCCTGTTATCACAGTGGTCCCTTTACTGTGAAAGAGGGTAAAACAATGTAAAGCTCATCAACCAGTGAACAAGTGCAGGGGAGGAAAAGGGGTGCAGACTGCTGCTGTTTTATAAAGAATTGTCAGGGAGTTCAGTAACCTTTGAAAGAGATCTGAAAAGGGTGTGAGCTACCCAAATTTGACTGTAAATCCTTGTATAAGTGAACACAAGAAGGAATCACGAAGCAGATGACTTTGGAAATGAGTCAGCTTGGCCTTGAAAACAGACATGGCTCTCAGATGTGAACCCTCACATGATGTTTGCCCAGTGGCCTGCCTTGGATGAGTCAGGAGTGACGTCCCAGTGCTATCATCATAACTTTTGAGTGACCTAAAGCACAATCCAAAGTATAAAATTTAGCCCAGATAACTCTGGGATGACTAGAACATTCCTGCTCAGCTCCAAATTTTATAATCTGCGGACAGGACAATCTATCTACAAAACAATCTAATCTGTGGACAGGACAATCTTATCTATTTGGGTTGTGTGTTCTATGCACCCTTCTCAATATTATGTTGGTTTTTTTCTTGAAGATCTTAAATGAAAGTTGGACAGTAGGCAGGTAAGTGTTTCAGCCCACTGGACCTGGTACTCCGCAGTGGTTGAGAATAAACCACAGACTTCCAAGCTAAATGGTATGCACTGGCTTGTGATCTTCAGACTCTTATAAATCTCTTCTGGGACTTTTCATTTGGATCTTGACACATAGAGTCCAAAGACATGTTTCTTCAGGCAAGGTCTGATTGGGACAGTATCAGGTAGAATTTCAGTGTTTCCTACTTGCTAAATCTTCCTGAAGGTACAGGAAGTGCTCCTGATGGTGATTTGTGTCTTGTTCCTCAGGATTGATTTGTTGCTATGGGGACATGATTTATTGAGCGTCTCAGGCAATGCAGTGATACATTAGGTCACAGGTTTAGGATGTAGCTTAGATATGTTTCTGGGTGTTAGACATGGCTCGACAGGGAATGAAGCAGATAAGCATCCCATATAACCACTGTAAACCAGAAAAATGTGCGAACACAGGGCTAAGTGTGGTAATGTTGAGCACAGTTGTGAGGAGCAGCATCTGGAAACTTTCCCCAAAGGCACGAGCCCTAGTCACTGTGTTGTCAGCTGGCCCAGCCCCAGCTCACCTTGGCCATTGATGTATGGCAGACAGGAAGGTGGATGAGTGGAAGAGCAGACCTTCAACTCCCATGCTCGTATCCCCCACTCTTGTAACAAGGGAATTGAAATGTTTCAGACTCTCAGGTGAAAAAATGCCCTCTGGTTTCAATTGTTCCATCAGTTAAATTGAAATATAGTTGATTGTATTAGATACATTGATTTCCATTTTTCTTTTCATTAATTCTCGTTTAGGACTTTACAGTCATGAACCACTGAAATGTGAGCCCCAGCATACCTGATAAAGAGCAGTAATTTACCCCTTCGCTGTGTGGGAGTGCATAGCCTTGATGTTGGGAACTTCCTCTTGCTCCAGGCAAAGACATCACAGACATTTTGAATAGTTGCTCCATAAGTGCTTATTAAGTAGACTTAACTGCATTGTAGGTTTCAGATTATCCTTTAATTATATCTATAAATTAGTACTACAAGAAAAAAGGATACCTTATTGTAAAGATCATGGTGTGATATTGTAGAGAATAAACTTTGAAATTACTATTGGAATAGCATATTTTGAGATCTTTTTAAAATTTCTATCTTGTAACAGCTTCCACTGGGCCAAAAGAAAAAAGTTCTAGATTGTACATGAGTTCTTGGTGTTAAAAATATTAGGACTTATTTTCCATACAAGCAAATAGTAATTAGTTCTATATATCATTCTTTCATGATTCATTAATGTAAATTGAAAGAGTCTCCTGTCAAAATCCATCATTGGTAATTAAAAGAAATTAACCCCAAGTCTTCAAGTTTTAGGTTTCGGGAATGAAAATAGCGGTAGGTAATTCTAGGTGGACAGTATTGGAAAACAAAGAGCTGATACAAAGCTGTTTATTTCTTTGTTTGCATCTTGCTTTTTAGCCCGTCTCACTTCTCCGTGAAACATGAAAATGAGTCCTCAACAGTTCCCAAGCATTTCTCCTTTCTCTAGTGTTGGCATTAAAACTAGGAATATCAGCATTAAAAATATAGATCAGCACTGGGAAGCGAGGAGGCCGAATTCTGGCCCACCTCTCCTTGTCCGGCAGGAATATGTAGATGACTGTGGACCAAACTCCACTCTCTCTGTAGATTGGTTTCCTTCTTCTGCTTTCTTTTCTTCCCTGAGATTTTATGTGGAGGAAATTTACACATTCGATTAATAAAACTGCCTAACTCCTGTAGATGTGTCAGCCTAGAAAATACTTCTGAGTCACAACTAGTTAGGAGAAAAATTTGAGAGCGTACATCAGCAGTGATCATGTCTGGCCTGTGGCCAGCCTTCCTGTCCACTGCCCTGCGGATGGCATCCTGCTTTAGACTAATGCTTTGCTGATTTGTGCACTGAGCAGGCACCGACTAGGCCACTGTGGGTGTTTACTCCCGGGATAGAATTCCAATGCTGCCGCCACAGTGACCACACAATAAGGGGTTTAAGACCCGTGTGCATTACTTCCACCTCTGAAAGTCAGGGTGGGTTCCCTTGTGTGAAAATCAAGGTGAGAACAGAACTGTATGCCTCTGGGAAGTGTTCCTTCTCTGCCTTTTCTAGGGTCTAGTGGCCAAATACATTCCTTGAGTTGTGAGATTCCTTGAGTTGTGGTTCTCTTTCTATTCCTGCAAAGTTGACTGGGTGGTTTAAATTCTCAAATCCATCTCTGGCTACTGTTTTCATGGTCAGATTGGATGCTCTGATTGTGACTCTCTGCCTCCTACTTCTCAGCACCTCTTGGATTAGCCAGTATAGTCCAGAATTATTTACCCAAAATAATCCCTCGGCACAAGATCCTTAATGCAATCATTCCCTTTAGATATGGCTTAAGGAGTAGGATGTGGCCACCTTGCAGGGAGGTGTTATTATTTCTCATATAGGGCTACAGAGTTAAGACAGATTTTGCTCTCAGGAGACAGATACTCTAGCAAGGAAAATTGAATCTATCCTTTCATTCAACAAGTACTACCTGAGCTACTCCTGCTAGCCGGATGCTGTTCTTGGCACTTGGGATATTTCAGTGAACAAGTAAGAATGGGTGATCTAAAGAGCCTGTGTGGTTAAAATGATAGCTAAGCCGGCACCCTTAATGAGTGTGTAAATTACCATAGTGTGTTGGAGGTGAAAAGTGTCATGGAAGAAAAGGAGTAAAATGCACCCAAGCAAGCATTTTCAGTAGCTTGTGATTGCTTCAGGGGAGGGGACCCAGTGTCCGAGGAGCACTGGAGAGAGCAGGAGGTTGCCCAGTGAGAGCCTGAGATGGACATAGGTGCTGGTAAGGAGGCCTTCGTGGATATGTGGTGCCTGAATTGAACCTCTGGGGCTTAGAGTTAGGTGGATACAGGACCCCAGGCAGAGTTAGAGCAGAAACTGGTGCTCAGTGCTGGGGGGACTGAAAGCAGGGGAGATGGAGGAAAACATCCACTTTGGGGGAAAGATTTGACCTTGTAACCATGGACCCAGCATTCTAAGCCCCAAAGCAGCTCAGCTTAGTCTCTGTCCTCAGCCTGCTCCGAGTCCAAACAGCCTGTAGCTAGTGCAAGGTGACCTCTGGCTTCTTTGCCTGTGCTGCCTTTTTGAGTCATGGTGGTTTTAACAAACCGTGCTTTCGGGATTCTTCTGTTACAAAACCCTGCCCATTTCTGGTGCTGTCATGTGGCAGGAGAGTTGTGCCTCTCCAAGAGCTCACTGATATCATATCATCATGACTTTCCGTCTCTGGGCCACTAGGACAGCAGATGTTCTGGGACATCTCCTAGTGACAGCCATCTTCCAGCTAAACCTCAGATGATTTACCTGGGGCCTTTCTGGTAGTCTAAGCTCCTTAAAAAGTTTTTGTTGCTCTTTAGCATGGAACTTTCACCCCTAAATAGCAGATAAAGTTCTGGAGGCATTATGCAATGTCGATGGACCCTTGGCATGGAAGGAGAAGGTCCTTGAGCCGCAAGTGAAGGGGAATGGACCATTCATTCATTGTGTTGACTTTAAAAAACAAAAGAACCA